AACCTTGGAGAACATTTTTATATACTTTAATTGAAGTTTGGTGAGTAAAAGTGACATTTCCGCAAGTTGGCTCGAGGTAGAAGACGATGGATAATCGATTATCAACTTGAAAATCGATTATTCATCGTTCTGCAGATTTTTGTAACAAAGCTGAGCAACAGTCGATTATCAGAATGTGATAATCGATTGTCAGCCCTCTCTGAAGTTTGATAATCGATTATCAGAATGTGATAATCGATTATCAGCCTATTCTGAACATCAGACAATAGATTATCAAAAGTGACAGTAGACTGTCTCCCTACACTATTGAAGAAAATGAAGCTAATAGTTAATAATTGAATTTCCTATCATAGATTAATCAGTTATTGTTTAGAAAACATGATTTTTGAACTATGAAATCCTTTTTTTGATACCAATTAATTATGCATAATATAACTATGATTTTGTATAATAAAAATGAGGTTTTTGGCATATAAAATACTATGTGATGCATGACGGTAAGTTCGGGTGTTAACAGTCGAGACTAGGCCGCTGTTTGTTATCAAATGTTATGTTGATTGATGATTATGATGAATGATTATTATGATGATTATGACTTGATGAAACTACTGATTAAATGATTATTGAAGATTAAATTATGAATTGAAATGAATATGTTGATGATTATGAAATGATTTGAATTCTAAGGATATCTAGAAGAACTCTAAGATATACCTAGGTTGACGTTGGTTTCTAAGACTATCTAGAAGACCTCTAAGATGACTTAGAAATGGGCCTTGCGGGTATAATTATGAATATTCGGTGGCCTGGGTTAAAACGTACGTACGGGATCCATAACCAAACTAGAGGAACTCGTTTGGGGATGCCACCCAACCCGACAGTTAGTATCCTACTGTTCGGTTTTCTGGATTTGTACCTTAAGCGAAGGCTAGTTTAAGAGTTGGTAAATCAATCGGAATATATGTACCTTAAACTAATGACCTAGCTTAAGAGTTGGTTAGAAGTACCTTAAACTCTAAT